ATCCTACTATAATTGAAAAACCTATTCTATTATCAAATCCACTTAACGGTTATTGCATTATGCAAGCCAATCACGAAGAATTCGAGTATAACTTCTTCCAAGCCACTGTAACCATGAGCACAGGCTTCCGCGCTGTACCACCTGGCAGGTTTACAAACAAGCTCAGACCACTTGCGCACGGGGGTCCGCTCGGGCTGTGCGGGCGGGGTTTAGTCGGGTCCCGCCGTTCGAACGACTCGGGTGCTCCTCTTCTCTCAGCTTTTGGAGCTTGATGCCATAGTCCTGGTGTCCACTGCGCACCACCGCGAAGAATCTTTGAAAACTATATTATAAACATGTACAATATATAATATAATATATATATATTACTATATTATATTACATTTATTATATATATGTACAAAGGCATTTATATGTTACTAAACTCAAATACAGTACACTATATATTTTGTGGGGGGCCTATCTCGTTTAGACTATTTTAGTAGGAGGTCATGTCACGGTTTCTCGTCAGACTACTTTAGATAGTGTCATCAACAAATACAACAATATCAACAATATAGCGTTTATGTGGGGCTGTTTAATATTATCTCGTTGTAAACAAATAGAGCATGCCGTAGACTACTTTGGTCAAGACCAAATAAAAGTGGTTGCTCATATAATATATAACACTCCGAAACCAAATTGCTGGTTCTTGAAAAGCATCTTGCTTCGTGCTCGGATCTTGCAAGTCTTGGGCTGTGGAATAGGGAGGGGCTCTGCAAAGCGGGATTCAAAGAGGTTTGTCTTGAGTCTAGTTTCAAGCCAATCTCACAAACAATGTCATCATAATTCAACATAAGATCTAATAAATGCATTGATTCATCATCAGATCATCAGAATTGTCACCCACTGCAAATTCTTGAAGAACTGTGAGAAACAACTACTCACCCCACCTTTTGGAATCCTAAACGACCCGGGTCACACCCACACACCCCATTCCAGGTCCCTCATAGACCAGTTTGCCTTTACACTGGCCAATGGATGACTGTATTTTATCAGGTGTTCCCTAAAGCTCTTCATATCGTGTCCGGCACGCGCCTGCGCCAAGGAGTCCCACTTGCGATCCCGCAAGGCCACCGCCTCGAGGAGCTCTTCCACCTGCCGACCGAACACCGGGGAGCGAGGCCCACCCGGCCGGAGCGACGCGGCACCGTACGTGGGACGGTCCAGCGGTGGATGGCCGTTCGGCGGGTGGCGTTCGAGGGGCCCCATCTCATTTCAAGCCCCTCCCCAACACATCGGCCGAGTGGGATGCCCATTGTCACGTGAGCTAAAAGATGAAGGTTTATCTGCAAACCGGTGGTTTTGGGATGTTTTGGGTGTATGATGATGTATGATGATGTATGTTCCCTCTTCAAGGCGAGTTTCCAAACTTGAAGTGGCTTGTTGCTTGAGCTCCAGCTGCAACAAACGGCCAATCATAGCTACAGAGCTCCAAACGAAACATGATTCTGGGGAATGCCCACTCCTCAATCTCGTTTTGATGTAGCAGCATGCTGCGACTGAAGAAAACACTGCTTTTCACCTTCCGACAACGAAAAAGGGAATGTCTTGCTCCTGGCCTTCGCTTGCTCCTCTTCGATCAGTTTCTGCTTGTGTTTGATCTCTTTGTCCTGACAAACCCAGTCGCAGGGCATTCCCATCACAAAGGTAGTAGCAAAAAGCTACTAGGGGCTCCTGGCATCGCTACTAGGAGCAAGGACGCTACTAGGGGCTCCTGGCCTTACTACTAGGAACAAGAAGCTACTTGTAGCAAGAAGCTACTAGGGGCTCCTGGTGCTGCTGAGTCGGGTGTGGAGCGAATCGCATCGAATCGCGCAGTGCTAAGTGCGCGGATCGGGTACGTCTGAAGTCCCTCTACGGAAGCAACTGCTCCACCGGATTATACAAGATGTCTGGATGCCTCTGCTTGATTCTGGGTGCTGAGAATTGTACGTACCTGTTCAGGTTTAAACATATACTGAAACAAATACTGTTTAGAATTAAAAGATCCTCAAAACTTTAGACACCAAGTTCCACGGGGCAGTGTCTGTTCTTCAATGAAAACCAGACTCCTTTGATCCAACTATTCTTAAGAACGCAGATCACGAAGATGGGAGTTGAGACAAACACTGACAAACACATCAAAACACTATATAACATAAACTGACCCTTGAATTACAAACCACTCAACCTAGAAGCAGTTGCTGGTCTTTCAGACGGTCCTCCCAACGCGTTGACCGGACAAACCACCAGGCCCTGCGGGATGCAGCTCCTGTAGTCGGACTTTTGCGTACAGGGCTTCCAGCTCTTCCACCAAACCCTTGCCTCAGCAATGATTCAGCATCACGCCAGGAGGACTGGCAACAGAAAAATCATTCTGTCCAAACTCCAATGCAGTTTCCTTCTCTAATCCCGATATTGGAAATGTCATGAATCTGCAATTTGTTGAATTTGGTTCACTAATGTTCACATATGTTCACTAAACAATACTAAATATATCAATCTTCCAAGAGGGCCACCTTATCACACCAGGCCTCTATCCAAGTCAGTCATCCCAACCTTCGCCCTCCCGATCCCTCCTGGCCTTCAGTCCCGCTCTGTGCACGCCAAGCCTTGAGCCGAGCAAAGTCCTCGGCCATCTTTTGCCTCAAAGCGCGGACGGTGACGAGGCGTGCGCGCCCTGTGCGCCTTGCGCCTTGGGGCATTACTGAAAGTGGGGCTCTGCTTTGGGATGGTCGGAATGACGGGCCAAAGCACATTTTGAAGCAAGATATTGCAAGCAAATTCCAGGTGGCTCAGGTGAGAAACGACCTATAACGACCTTTAAGGTATAATATAGGCTCGCAAACAAAAAAAACAGAAACTAAAGAATGATGCAGGTAGACAGGTGGAATGGGATGACCTTGCATCTTCCCTGAACTTCCGAACAAAACGCCTCGGAGTGCATCCGCAACTCCACATGAAGGAGCATCGCAAATCCTTATTGAAGAGGTCCAACACCTGTTTTCATCCAACACGTTGACACAAAGAATCCAAGCAAGATCTTTGTGTGTATGAGTCAATGTGTGTGTGTGTGTTGGTGAAAGCCAAACAAATTCGTTGTTGATCATGGGAGCCCCGCCACCGTCGTGGCTGTCTCCAACAACAGCTACTCGATGCTACTCGGGCTTCGTTGGGGAATGATGGCATAGTGCCCAATCGATTACTGTCCACAAACTCAAAGCCTTGATTCTCACTACTTCACAAATAGTTTGTATAGGGGGAGTCCGGCAATCCACTGTTTAAAGATGTTTTCAGGCCATTCGGGGTCTCAACCGCATCTCCCCCGTCCCACGCACGTCTTCCACTGGGTCAGCCCGAGCTCGAGTTCATTCTTCCGCCGCTGGATCTCATCGGTGTAGCCCTGCAGGCCGGGCGGAGAATGAGTGATCGATCGAAAGGTTCGAAAGGCAGGGCAACTACAATACAAGAACCTACAAGAACCGTGTATATATATATATAATACTGCCACTGCCCCTGCCCACCACACTTGCCCGGGCGTGTTCTTTTTCCTTGCAAAGCTATCTCTGCGTCTTGCTCAGCTTCAATCTCCTCAAGATCTGCAGAGGGCTCCTTGCAGACCCAAGATTGTTGCTGTGAGTGCAACCAGAAAAGCTCCTAGTAGCGTCCTTTGCTCCTAGTAGTAAGGCCAGAAGCCCCTAGTAGCTTCTTGTTACTAGTAGTAAGAATGCTCCTAGTAGCGAGGCCCCTAGTAGCGTCCTTGCTCCTGCCCTTTGTTGCTTTCAAGATCTTTCAGGACTTCGTCTGTTCTTCTGTTCATTCCGCTTTAAACATAGGCCTGCATGCCTGCGCGTAGAACCAACACCTCTCAGCAATCCAGGGCGACCCACCAAGTAAGTGGGTCCAAGTGTAAAATGAACATTGCAGGCATTTTCAGCCGGTGGCCGACCACTCCTTTGATACTGGGGGAGATTCCTGGACCATCCCTCAGGATTTCATGGACTGGGACCACGCGTTTCATTGGACCATCTCACCATCTCTCAGGAGTTTGGGGCCAGAATCCGAAAGGCGGGGTGGATCCAGCAGGTCATTCGTCCACATGATGTCCTCTGCCAGTGGCTCCTCATCCTCCTCTGCTTCCAGGTCCTTTCTTTGGGAGGGGATTGGAAGCTCGAAAGGCAGCCATTTGGGGGGCCACATTCCACATTCTTTTTCTGACTTGAAATGACAGCCACAGGTGTGGATCTGCCCAAAGTGTACTTGATGGTGTTTGACTTTTGTGGAGGAGAACACCAGTCAGCAGCGATCATTCCAGCCAGAACAGCAGTGTTGCGTCAGTTGGCCGAGTGACCAATGAGCCTGGTGTCTTGGAATGGACCTACAACGACTAAAGGTCTTGGTTGATTGTTCTGTCCCTGACCTAGGCTCCCCATTGCTTGGTGTCGGAGGTTTTACAAAGTGTCCATGATCGCAATGGCTAAGCAATGGCTATGCTTTATGACTTCATGACCCATCTTTTTCATGCATGTTTTTGGCTGATTCATCCGGTGGTCTTGCGGAATGAAAGTTCATCACTATCCGCAACTTGGCCATAGCCATACAAAGCCATGTAAAGCCAACGAGGTGAAATTGGGTGCAATCCCGGACAATTTGACCCCGTGGAACAGTTGCTGATCCCTATCACACCAGCTGCTGGTCGGGTAGCAGAACGCCAAGACTCCCTCTCTCCCTGTCTCTCCTCTGTAGTATAGTATATGCCCAAATAGATATAGTGCAATCGACTTTTTCGGTTTACCAGGGATCTTTGGGGGTCCTCCACTGGGGTCTCCTTATTTTAATACACACCCATGTCTGAGGTATATCAGGGCCTATCACCCATGACCAGTAACAATGGATGACGATGGTTAGTAAGTAAAAGCCTTTCCCCAAAATAGTGATAATCTGTTACCGACTGTTGCTGGTAATGGGAGACACCCGACTCATATTCTGAAGTCGCGAGTGACAGTGCTGCGGCGAAAATTGGAGGTAGTCGAGTCGAGTCTGTCCTTGCCATGATGGAAGCGCGCCACCTCCCGGCAGTGCTGCAAGAACTCCTCGAGGTCCCATCTGTACTTCATGATGTTGCAGTCACCACAAGCAGCCACCTGGGAAAAGTTGCAGTAAGTTCCCGAGGTTCGGTCCAACGGTCTTGGGTGCATTTGCCCATGCTATCCCTGCAGTTTGTACAATGGAATGCCAAACAAGTCCTTTTCCACCGATGTTTTGGAATTGTTTCGCCCCCAAAACTTCCCAGGTGACCAAACATCCGAGCCATCCCCTTCGCCATTCGTGGCCAAAGAGCTGAAGTTTCTGCCATGTAAACCCGATTCTTGGAATCCAGCCGATCCAGCCCATTGAAGTGCCCACGGTCCTCTGGCCCGTAGCTCTTCGGCTTGCGGGGCTCCTCGGGTGTTGATTGGATGCGATTGGATCTCTTGGGCTGACTCCCGAGCCGCTTTCCGTTTAACTCCGCATCTGTTCATGTCTAGTGGGCAAACAAATCTCCCAAAACAGTTCAAGGTCATCCACTGACTGAGTAGGTGTAGGGATGGTTAGGACAAGAGTCCAATAGCTCCGAGGTCAATCAACTTGATGGATTTGGTGGGTCCCCAAACAAAAAAAATCACCCAAAGGCTCTCTTGTTCATGGCGGGCTGCGAGGCTACAGTATATACATGTATATACACTCATGTGTATCAAATTGTATCAATATGTATCAATCGGATAATATTATTGCAGGAAGGACCTTCACATGACGACTTGACCTACAGGATTGAAATGCTGGTTAAACATAAATGAAGTACACAATAGGGCTGATCAATGGGGGCCAAAGTCTGACATGTGGCATGCGTAGCCTAAAGGGGCTTGCCTACTTTGACTATACTCTGCAACACCATTTCCACGTACCGCAAATGCAGACAAGCACCCCTTGTTACTAGTAGCGATGCCGATGCCCTTGTTACTAGTAACTTAGTAGCTAGCTACTTTGTTACTCGGCACTCCCTGCATTGCCCATTATTGCCCTACATTTCTCGGCGTCCACCCTCCAGGATTGTGGCGACGCCGGCCATTCAGCAGCGCGAATCCAGCAACCTCCCTCTCCTTGTGGCAGTAGAAACATCGCTGAGCCACAATGGCATTGAACTGCTCGTTCGTCAAAGAGTGTGTCTTCCTTGGCGCAGTAGGACAAGCATGGAGGACTGGCGCTTCTCAAAGGTGGCTCGGTGTCTGACTTCTAAAACTCCCGTCAATCTTAGGGTACCCATGTTCTTGAGCACTGCATCCAAGGTTGAGTAACTCACAAATACCCTTGTGTTATCCAAAGGTTCCCTAGGCTCCCTGAAAAAAAACAAATACCCTGGGCTTACCGCTTACCTCTGCGAAGATCAGTTGACAGCATGAGCATGGGGGACGCACCAGAACTGCCAAAAAAGAATTCCTTTGGTGAAAACAACATAGAGTTGACGAAATCAACCTGCCCAAGATTTCCTGAATGATGAGGTTGGCCACTCCACCCAAAATAACGTTGCCCTGTTTTTAGGCCTGCCAGGGGCACTCCAATTGGTGACAGTTGTTTGAACGAAGAAAAAATCTCAGACAAGAGGCGTGTGTGTGCTGGATTGCGAGATGTAGCAGGAGCGGGAACGTTTGGAGACATTGTCTCGAAAGCGGTGAGGGTACTCGCCAAAGTCTTCTCCTGAAGTCGGTCCATTCAGGTGCAACAATCCATCCAAAAAACATCCAAAGCAAAACGGAATTGTCCCAACTTTCACCTCCCAAACAGCCCCATTTGAGTGTCATACCGTTTTAATGGACAACTTGCTCCACAGCTGTTACCCTGCTCTGCAGTTCTCAATGATGTGACTGATCTGGCTGTCTGCCACCTTCTGTGTGCTTCGTCGCAATGTGTCGGCAGCATTCCACAAAGGCACGGAGTCTTCGGTAGCCTGGAGGCGTCGAAGGTATGGCGCGTCGAGCGTCAAGAACTCTTCTTGAATCTTTCGCGACATCTTTCGCACTCGTCAAGCTACCAAACAACGTGTTTTGCTTACTTAGTAAAAGGTGCCACCAAATGTGTGCACTCAAATCCATCGAGAGTGAAGCATGAAAAAAATATGAAAGTGAAGCAAACCCGGACCTGGCCTTTCATCATGTTGCACATGGTGCAAGCTGGTGCCAGATTCTCCTGAGCACACGCCCGAGCCGATCCCCCCAAAATTAGCTGACATGTTGGCACGTCCACTCCGTGCTCCTCTCCGAGGTGTTCTCATCCGAACACTTTAAACCCTCTCATTCGGTCAGCACCGGTCGTCTTCCTGCCGCCCCTGCAGGTCAACCTTGGTCAGCTGGTTTTGAGAAGACATGGAGGCCATCGCTATGAGGTTCCGTTTGCTCCTAGGTTGAAGGCCGTCGCTTTAGATGCTTTAGACATGAAAAATATCAAAAAAAATCAGGGGAAACGGCACATCTACCGCCGAGGCCGTCGCCACTGAACCAAAGCCTTCCGAAAGACCCAGGGAGACGCGTCCATTCGAACGAGGTGGGTAGTAAGCAACTTTGAAGGCTAAGACTTGGACAAGAGTCAACCAGTCGTTGAATGAACTTCCAGCCGTCTTAAACTCTAGAGATGACAACATGCACACATTCCTAAAGGGACAAACTTGTCCCTTCGCAACCAAAGTACAAGTACAAGTATATACCTCCACATATACTCCCTCAAAGACATCAACAAGCACCAACACAGGCCCCCCACAAAAGGCGGAAACCAACCATCCGACTCGTCTCCTCTGAGTAGGGCCCCATGAAGCCTTTCCGCGCGCCTGGGAGCGCAGCCACGCGCCGTAGCCGCGTGAGGCCGTGGCCTCGCAGCGGCGCCGCGGCGCCACAGGCGATGCATGGGCCTCAAGGGTCTCTGAGGTCTCTGACGACTCTGGGAACTTCCGGAGAAGTTGACAGGAAATTGAAACTGGAAGGACCATCCCTGACGAAAACCAAAGAGAGAGAGAGAGAGAGTGCTTGTGAGTGTTCTTCCGAATCGGGTGCAAATGGTGGAAATTGACATGTCCCCTTGAAGAAGGATGCCAAGGACACCAACATCTTTGAACCCAAAAGACCAACTACGTGAGAAGCCGGGAGCGCCCAGATTCCCAACGAATCCAAACATGTTGCTTATTGTATCTGATCCTATCTTTCGAAGACATCAAACTTCACTGCTGTAACTTGTCATATTCTTCAAACCCCGCACTTGCAAGTATCATCGGGCTGCAGTTGTAGCCGAAGAATTGCCTCCAAGCCACTCCTCATCATGGCACAAGCCGTCTTCTCTGAAATGGTGAAGGGAACCCCTTGCCTGGGAGATTGCAGATCTGTGGATGGTGGATGCAATGTGTTCAGTCGATCTGAGCAGTGACGCTGTGCCAGCATCCCTGAAAAATCCTGGAAGTGTCCACACACCGAAAAACAGAGAGATATGATAGAGATAGAAAAAGTGGATGGACAAACCAAGGTCACGTCGCCGCGACCCCGGGCAAACCTTCAGGGTCGTCATAGATGGCGTGAGCACAAACAAAAACATATTATTGCTGAGTAAGTTTTGAGCATGATCCCCTCCAAGCGACCTAAAGTCACTGATATATGCGTTTTAAACTGTATTTTGGATATCAAAAGGATTCTTTTTGAAAGTTGACCCTTGGGTCCCCAAAGACCTGCAGGCTAGCACGGAACTTGAGCAGAAATGTGTAGAAGATCGCCTGCAATCGCCTGCATAATATTTCTGGTAATCTGTATCGAAACGAAAGGAATCAAACATTCAAACAGTATTCTATGACTTGCTGGGTCTCCATCCACCACCCAATCTATCCTGCAAGCTGGGTGTTTCATCTGTACCGTAGCCACTGCTTCCGCTGACTATGGGTAGCTCGAAGAGGAAGACTGCAAAGACCCCTGGCTCACTGGATTTTGCTCTATTATTAACTCTATTGTTCCTTGACCAGTGGAGACTTTGGCAAGCATCCTTAAATCTCCTTGACAAATTAATTTAGACTGCAACTAAAATCCTTCCATGGTGCCTGATCCCAGGCCTTGAGATGTGAAGCACCAGGTAGGAGCTAGGGGGTCTTTGATGAACCTCACCGTCAACATTCTTCCGATACACACCCATCTGCTGACCATCCATCATGTCTTTGTTGGATTCATCATGATTCATCTTGATTCTGATTTGATACTGGAAAGTCGTGTGTTCGGTTAACCAACAGTTCAGCAAATGGGTTGAACTATGACTGGTTGATTTAGCGACACCATCTGCTTTTGACCGAACCGGAACTAACGACTCCACACGACTTCGAACCCCAACCCCCGACCTCTCGGCGGTGCGACGATAAGCCCTCAAGCGCTGCAGCTGGGGAAGCTCACCGGAGCCACGCAAAGCGTCGGGCGTAGGCTTCAGCTCGGGATTCCTCAGGCGCTGCGCCAGGTGTGCGCTGCACAAGCTGTGCGATGAAAGGCCGCTGGAAGAACAAACCAACACTGGTTGAGTAGCAGTAGGGTTCAACACTCAACAAAGATGTCACCCAAACGCTCCAAAGAACCCTTGGTCCCTCAAAACGTAGAGATTTGAGACCCCAAACCCCTGCATATGAGGGTCCGATCCCTCCATATGAGGGTCCAGGAGCGCCTGGGCAAGGAAGAAACGAGGTCTGGCCGTGTGGAAGTGCCATGTTCCGCCATCCGTGGGCATACGTTGGTTTCTTTGGAAGCGAGTTTGCGCTCAAATCAAGCAACATACAGTAGCTGGAACATACATGAGGATTGCACGGTGGTTTGCAATCCAATTTCCTTGAACTTGACTGATTGCCTATATATGTCTAAGACTTGGGAAGAAGAACTAAGCAGTGGATCCACTTGCCTCTACAGTGGGTCACCAAGCAGTCCAAAGGAAAGAACGAAACTCCAGGCTATTTTAGTTGCAGGGATTCGATGAGTAGCGGTCGGCTGTCATTGGGTGTGCGGATTTAGAAAACATCAGGATCTCTACTTCGCCGGAACCAGCCGTCAAATGTATCTCATCGCAGAGAGGGTTCTTCTTCCACAGCGGCCGTCGACAACGAGCACAAATGGAAGGGTCAGTTGGCTCATCTGCATCCAAATCAATGACCTCGGCGAGGTCTGGTCACCCCAGTAGTACTACATGGTGCACCATACAAGCCTGATTCAGGCATGTATATATAATACTATAGTTATATAATATACACTGTATATTTAATGATTCAATATTTTTGGATTGCGGTGTCTTTTCACTGAAAAATGCTCCGGGCAAAAAATCTGGCCGTTTGAGGATCCAGGTATAGTATAGTCAATATTATATTATCACTCTATATATCCTATATTGGACATTGACATGTCATTGGACATTGACATGTCATTGGACATTGACATGTCATTGGCAATGACTGAGTCATTGGCATAAATAATTAATGTCAAACGTCCGCGGCAAATCGATCAAAGAACAAATGATTGATGACTGCAGCCCAAAGGCCTCCGCTTCGCCTTTCTCTGGCACCTCATGTCCGCGCTGGCCGAATTGTGGAATCGTGAAGGGTCTAGAATTGCACAAGACGTTTCGGAGAAACAAACAACCGGGGTGTGCCACATGAGCAACACATGCTGCGAACGTTGTGCAAACCAAAGGCTGCCTTCTTCAAGAAGGAGGTCATACTCTTCTGAATCCGATTGTCCTTCGCTCTTCTGCAGCTAAAGCAAAGAACTTCGACAACTTCATCGGCTTCCTGCCAAGCGAAGCCGAGCCATGCTGGCAGCAAAGACGGGTGTTGGGCTTGTGGCATTAACAACCTGGTGCTGTGAAAAAAGGATGAAAAAGGTGGACACCAATTGAAGAAGACGTTTTCAGGGTGTTTTTCTCAACGACTTCTTGTGGGACGGACCAGATTCCACCACATCCCTCTGTGTGGCCAACAGCTCGAGCCTTTGCTTGGCGATACTTCGGCTTTTGGTCGCCTGCACACGTCGCGAAGTGGCGACGACTCTCGGCGGACTTAGACAACAGGAAGAGAAAATTGAAAAAAAAAACAATGAACTGCAAAGAAAAGAACAAAACTGACCCTTGTAATGTCCTTCCTCTCTTCTGTGGCAAAGGCAGCTTGGATGCAAGGAATCTGCAAAACCTATATACTCAAATTTTCTTTTAGCAAGTCTTTCCAGCTTGATAAGGTCTAGTCTGGACACTTACCAAAAAAAAGAAAAAACAGCGCCAATCCATGGGCGCGGCTCAAGAACAAAATGCACAAGTTGGTAGAAGGCAGCATGTGAATGCCATGCAGCAATAACATTTTTGGGCTTCAACCCTCTCATTCAAATCTGTCATATATTCAGCACCACCCATTTCGGGTGGTTTTTGGAAGGAAAATACATACAGTAGTCAATGGGTGCCACCCTTTCCGTGGTGCTGGACAGTTTCAACGTCAAAAGCTCCAACTGGTATCCCCTGCGGTCGCGGCCATCGCCACCTTGCTTCTTTGCATCGATCGTCTCTTTGCCAATCTGATCGCTCCGGCGCTTCTTCGGCTTTGTCGCGTCCTTGAAGGGCGGGTTCCGTGAGGTTCAAACGCCAGGAGTGAGAGCCACGAGGCGGCAATGCGGTGTTTGCACAGATCTATCTAATGTGCAAAAAAAAGCATTGAATGATCTTGAATGTAGATTCGATTCCATTGTGTACACGCCTTGAGTGGAGAACTAAGTGATTAAATCTTTAAAAATGACCGCATATCTGGAGCTACTAGTAGCTCCTGGCATTACTACTAGTAGCAAGAAGCTTAAAAAAACATATCTGGAGCAGTCCTGTTCCGCAGCACGTTTACCTTTTCGTGTGGCCTCAAGAGACTCGCTGCTTCGTCCCGACCCTCTCCAAAAGCCATCTTCCAATCGAACGGGGGCATCTTCCATGAGAGTCACGACGATGATCGATCCTTGTCGAACCAGCTGAATTATATATTATACATTATTATACTATATGGTTGGTCTTTGAGAAGAGTAGACTTGGCTCCAGGTCAACTGGGACCTACTCAAGGGAGCCAAGAGAGCATTCTGAGACGCCGGCCGTGGTCATTGTGCCCATCGGTCAAAGCCGCATTGACATGCTCCGCTGGGCTACGTTGACTTTGACCAAAAGTTGGGGTGGAAACTTGGCCAACAAAACGAACTATGTTGCAAGGGGACACATGTCAGCTGCACGAAGGGTTGCTATTGTCAAGGTATGTCAAGGTGTACGTATCCAATCCATATTCTACGCGTATTGCGGGTGACAAGGACTCCTACCGCTCACTGCCGGTCTTTGCTTGCGGTTGCTGGTGTCTCAATCCGTCATCAATAGTGCAAAGTTGTCGTGCAAGTTGAATTCAAAAATTGATCGGCGTTTTTTGTGGAATGGCTGCTGCCTCTCCCATATCAGAACTGCTTCATCGCTCAAGCACTGGAGTGCAGAAGCTGCAGAAAAGAGAAGGCAAGAAAACAACTCTCCATTCGTGTTCAACCCACAAATGTACTGCTGCTCAGACACTTTCTCAGTGCTTTGAGTCATCTGCCACAACCAAAGGTTCCCTGAACACGTGCTTTGGGGGGTGGATCAAGAAGACAGCTGTAACCAAGAGATTCACATCCTGGATCTCAGGCAGCCATTATAGAAGGAGCTGGGGTTTTAAGGTCGCTGAAGTTTGTATTTGGAATCACTGGTTACCAGTGACATCGTGGTTTGCCTGGATCCACTGGGTAGAATGAAGGGCAACCTTTTGAAGCACAACTGTTTGATCACTTGTCTTTCTGGTCGTCACCTCTTTGACCAGCCTGGTTGAACCCTAATGGAGTCCCTCAAAGCTTCCCATACACACTGAAAGTTCCCATAATGTAGACTCTTGATTAAATAAACCCCCCATTTGGATCCATTTACTTTGGATTGTAAGACCTGTTCGAGTTTATTAATCAACTGTCTGCATTAAGTGACTGCAACCCCAAATCTAGCTACGGGTACCACGTTCTAGGCCAATCTCCTGTTCTGTCGCGGAGCTTGGACTCAAAGCATTCAAAAGAGCCACGCCATTGGCCGCCCTGCACCGGTCACCTGGTACATCTCCAGCTTTTCCTTGAGCTTGAAGGCGGCGCTGCGATCCCCCCGCTGAGGCGGCAACGTCGACCTCGTCCAGTCAAGCCGGGGGACAGCAACTGCGATGGAACATGGGTCAGAATATATCAGAATGGGACGCTCGGATGTGACCAGGCGCAAAAAGAGGCTCGCATCATCTGATCAGTGAGACTCCCAGCAGTGTGGCCTGGTCCCGTCGTGGTCCCTACCCTTTCCTTCCTTCCACTCTGTGGTGCGAGCTATCCCAGCACGAGGTAGAAGGCATGTGGAGGCCACCCCTTGAGGTCCTACATGGTCCTACGATGTCGGGCGGTGAGAACACCCCGTCCTCACTGCACGCGTGGGCTCTCCAAGGCCCCGAACTTGGAGATGATCTGTCCCACTTGCGACAAGTGAAAACCCAATGAGCTGATGGCCTGACCGTTCGATGCGTGTGACCAGGGCTGAAAACAGCACGCACTCATGCTATCGCATGCGCACATGCTGATTCGATCTGATTCGTGCGGCAAAGGGATGACCGGTCTCTAAATGCAAATCAGCTCGGCTGGCAGTGAGTGACTCACCCAACAGACCTGTTCAGAACGTCTTTATGCCTGTTTGATCACTGGGATACTTCAGGCAAACAAAAGTTTATGCTTGTTGTCCATGTTCATAAAACATCATAAAACATCATAAAACGCTGTAGGGTATTGTAGGGTCAGCTGCGGATCGAATTACAAGGTCCAATTTTCGTGGCAGGTGTGGAAGGGTCAATTGTCACGCCGTTTTAAAGTTCGAATTACAAAAGGCTTCCCGCTGTGAAGAATGACCGCCCACACGTTCCCAGGTCTCCCAGTGTAGGATTCTAGGGATCAGCAATGACATTGAATTTCAAGAAGCGCAACCTTTGTCTGGCCAGATGTAGGATCATTGTACTTTTCATCAAGAATCAGCCAACAAATGCCAACAAAGTTACCCAATTGTGCAAGTCCTAACATCTATTGTCGTTTCCAGAGGCCACAGTCACATGTCTCGTCCCAAGACCAACCTCGGCGCTGAGATCCACCAGCTCACGGCTCCCTTCGCTGACATCTTCATTCTTCATGGCCCAGCCTGATGCCAAAGACCGGAAATGGGAAATGGAGAGGAAGCTGAAAGCATCTGACTCAAAGGTACTACGAGCGATCAGCATACTAAAATGTACTGTGATAAGAGTGATGGTCCGTGCTCCAGCGTCATAATCCCAGCACAGAAGTGTCGAACACGAAAAGCCAACGTCCAAAATCTGTTCGCTCGGGGCGCCTCGAATCAGCTGGCTGAAGCTCTACTCTACTTTGAGTCACTAAGCAGGCTGACCCCTTCTGGGGTGGCTGCGGAGTTAAGCTGAGGTGACCTGCTTCCTCCGCTTAAAGTCGAGTCAAAACCACCGCGAAACGACCTCTCGGACGCCTGGATCCAATTGTACGGAGGCCAATTATTACTAGTAGCTTCTTGTTACTAGTAGTAATGGCCTCTAACCTAATAGCCATGGCCTCCACCTAGTAGCTTCTAGGTTCACCACGTACAACTTACTCGCAACTTGAAGGTGATTAACACGCTGGCTAACTCTTGACAGTGTTCTAGATATTATACCCCCCTCAAGACGCTTGGCTCAATTCCCAAATGGTGATTTACATCAATAAGGCTTTGCAAAAAAGATCTTTGGCATTTGAACCAGGAGTTCTGCGGGGTTGCAATTAGATAAACATCTCTCCAAACCCATCCCAACCGGTGTTCTCACACTTCAGGTCGAGATCACGACATGTCGCACTCCCTGCAGGCACAGTTCTTTTCATCGCCGCTTCATCGACGTCCATTCCTAAAGGAGATGAGAGATGAGAATCGGAGGAGCTACAGGCGCCCACAGCCAAACGTGGGAGTCAAGATGAGTCAACACTGCAAATCAACAAATCCAAACTCCTGCGACCAAATCCCAGTCATCACAAAAACATCAACACAGCTGTCAGAGACACTGCCAACACTCCATCAAAGGGTGTCTTAGAAGTAGGAACCCTGTCAATCCTTTTGATCGACTGTTTTGAAAGATGCCAGATGTTCAAAAGGCCATGTGGTGTCTTTGGAGGCAAAAGCAAGCTTAAGTCCGGATCTACATTCACTAAAAGCGACATCCTGGATATCCTATATAATCCATAGGAGCAATGAGAAATCTATCTATACCGTACTATTATGTATATTATATATATATACTGTAGTACTGTCAGAATCCATCAAAAGAAACATCTCTCACATTCACATTCTGCTGGTCCCACCTCGCAGGACCTCCTGCGCTGCTCGAAGCCCAGAGAGGTAGGCTGCATGAAAGCCGCCCTCGGAGGCTCAAGAACTTTGAGGGTCAACTGGGCATGTCTGGGGTAGATCCCATAACCAGCAACATCCAGCAACATGAGCCTTTCCCAGACATGGTGATCATCTTTTTTCCGACTGTTGGACACTGTTGGTAATGGGACGCACACCAGGCATGTCTCAAGAGACTCAAAGGATCTCAAAAAACTAAGAAAATACAAAGAGGATGTTTCTTGATGTTTCTTGAGAATACTAGGAGCAAGGACGCTACTAGGGGCTCCTGGCCTTACTACTAGGAACAAGAAGCTACTAGGGGCTCCTGGCATCGCTACTAGGAGCAAGGACGCTACTAGGCCCGAATCCCCGTTTGGTGTTCGCCGTCAGCCGGTCGGCTCTCTTTAAAACGGGATTTCAACCTCTGTCTGAGCGCCAGCAAATGCGAGGATGCCAACGTCTGGGAGATACATCTGTGAGAAGACCATCAGTTCCCAGCAAACCCACAAGGCCTGTGGATGTCTAACTCAGCTCAACCTCTGCCCCACCTGCTCAAAAATATGTTGTTTTGCATCTTTAGCTATTCTCGCGCTCTCGTATCTTCCCCTGTCTCTTTCCGTTTGCCTCCCTCCCTCCCCCAAGCAAGCAACAATGTAATGCACTGTACCGACAGGAACCCACCACTGATTATACATTCTGCGTCTGCACGTCCAACCTTCGGAGTTCCCAAACTCACGGTGAGGTGGTTGCATTCTTTAAAACGCGGTTCCAATATTCCCTTGTAAAAAATGAGTTCGAGGTCCTACCATTTCAATCCATTTCAAGTATGAACACCAATCGGAGATCTTGAGATACGTCTGAGATGAGATAATCGTTTGAGATGTGTGAAACTCCAGATGTCTCGCGACGTCACCCGGCGTATCTACCAAAAACGGATCGTATCTGTTGAAAGACCCAGTGGGTCGAGATCGTCTGGGGCTAGGACTTGGTGTTCCTCATGCGTGTGTTCTCCTGCAAGTTTGATGCGTCGTCCTTCCGTGGCAGCCAGCAAAGCCCGAATGTCATCCCATTCCTGCAGGAGGCCGAATGGGACCGGAGTCAGCTACACAAACTCCTATGAAATGCAGAACCTCCGAAAGATTGAACAAACACATGGAAACTCCAAGCCGGTGATTTGTAGGCAATTTTTTTCATTCCCAGGCCCATGTTCTATGGTGCTCTTACTTAAACTCATAAGCCAAGCATCAGCATGCTTGCTGCTGACCCTTAGCTGCCGCACATGCTTGCTCCAGATCGTCCAAATATCGTGCAAATATCGTGAGGTCTATGAAGACCCATGGACTTTCAATTGTGGGTGTGAGTTACAAGCTGGACGAGTGGGGTGCGGACAATCATGGGAACTCCTGAGCATGTCCAATGATACCCCAAAAAACACAACCTTCACCCTTCCCAGTCTTGCAAGATGGGAGCTTCCACTACCCTTGATTCTTGTAGAGATTGCGTGGGGGGTAGGTTGGTGATCCTTGTTGTTTATTGCCTCACGGTCCTGAGATTTTGACCCGGACCCAGAGACCCAGAATTTGTTTGGGATGGCCAAAATTGGTCCACAAAAGGTATATGCTCCGCGTTGGATATCACCTACGGACCTACGCCTGCATGACATG